AGTAACTAATGATAATAATCAATGACAATAACAACAACAACAATATTAACAATAACAATAATAAACTTGCCAAGTACAAAAACACACACACACACACACACACACACACACACACACACACACACATTGAATAAAAATACAGGATATGACTACTGCACAAGCCGGATATAAGAAAAAGGCAAATTCTCGGTCGGATGTGTGTCTGTGTGTGTGGACATGACTTCAAGGAGACATGACAGGAGATGACATAAGGTAAAATCGGCGAAAGACATGATTATTATTATTATTATTAATTATCATTGTTGTTGTTGTTATTATTATTAATATCATTATTTATTATTGAAAGACATGATTACAATTATTGTTATTATTTATTGCTGTTGTTGTTGTTGTTGTTGATGTTGATGTTGTTGTTGTTGTTGTTGTTGTTATTATTATAATTATTATTATTATCATCATCATCATCATCATCATCATCATCATCATCATCATCATCATCATCATCATCATCATCATCATCATCATCATCATCATCATCATCATCATCATTATCATTATTATTATCATTATTATTATCATCATTATCATTATCATTATTATCATCATTATTATTATTATCATCATTATTAATTATCCTTACTATTACTATTATTACTATATCTGACATGACCTATCAGACAAACGCACACTATTTGCATAAACGTGCAAAAATGCAACAGGAAGAAACTCTGCAACATAAGCTACACGGCCTATTGCGCTTCAGAGGAAAAAAAAGGGTTGCTGAAGCCTGTGCAAATAGTTTTCTTTTCTTTTTCGGTTAGCTATAAGATAACGACTTACAGTTATGGCCGTATATGAACATGTAAATACAAACGTACACACACACACACACACACACACACACACACACACATATATATATATATATATATATATATATATATATATATATATATATATATATATATATATATATATATATATATGTATATATATATATTTATATATATATATACATATATATATATATATATATATATATATATATATATATATATATATATATATATATATATATATATATATATATATATATATATATATACATACACATACATATACATACATATACATACATATACATACATATACATACATATACATACATTTACATACACATATATACATATATACATATAGACACATATACATATAGACACATATATACACATAGACACATACAGACAGATAGACAGATATAGATCAAAACAAACAAACAAACGAATTAAATCCTCCTCCTCCTCCTCGTTCAAAAAAGGGAAAACACCGCGGCTCACCATTGTGCTCGAGCTGACCCTGCCGTCTCGCGCTACACCAAGCCAGGATCTGAGGGAGAGAAACGGGAAAAAGTTAGGATTGAAAGGAAAGTATTGATATGGGTCTAGGCTTGGCGAAGGATGGATGTATATAAATAATAATGGTAATTCTAAGGGTATATCTAATGGGAATATTTGATGGTAACGCTAAGGGTATATTTAGTGAGAATACTTAATGGTAACTCTAGTGTATATTTCATGGGACACTTAATGGTAACTCTAGAGTATATTTAATGGGAATACTTAATGGTAACTATAGTGTATATTTCATGGGAATACTTAATGGTAACTCTAGAGTATATTTAATGGAAATACTTGATGGTAACTCTAAGTGTATATTTAATGGGAATACTTAATGGTAACTCTAGAGTATATTTAATGGGAATACTTGATGGTAACTCTAAGTGTATATTTAATGGGAATACTTAATGGTAACTCTAGAGTATATTTAATGGGAATACTTGATGGTAACTCTAGAGTATATTTAATGGGAATACTTAATGGTAACTCTAGAGTATATTTAATGGGAATACTTGATGGTAACTCTAGAGTATATTTAATGGGAATACTTAATGGTAACTATAGTGTATATTTAATAGGAATACTTAATGGTAACTCTAAGTGTATATTTAATGGGAATACTTGATGGTAACTCTAAGGGTATATCTAATGGGAATATTTGATGGCAACACTAAGGGTATATTTAGTGAGAATACTTAATGGTAACTATAGTGTATATTTCATGGGATACTTAATGGTAACTGTAGAGTATATTTAACGGTAACTCTAAGTACATTTAATGGGAATACTTAATGGTAACTCTAGAGGATAGTTGTGATTACGTAATATAAAGAGGAAAACGTGTATTATGATTATTTGTGTGCAAATGAATTACTAGATTTAGAGTATTCATTGCAATAATGTTGAATGGGTGTGGTTTATTGCAGAGGAAGGGGCGTCAGAGAGGGAACGCAGACCCCCTTCTCCCTCTTCCCCCTCTTCTCTCTATCTCCCTCTTCCCCCTTCTTTCTCTCTCTCCTCCCTTTCTCTCTCTTCTCTCTCTCCTTCTCCCTCTTCTTTCTCTCCTTCTCCTTCTTTTCTCTCTACTTCTGTCTTTCCCCCCTTCTTTTTCGCCTCTCCTTCTCCTCCTTCTCCCCTCTCTCTCTCCCCCTTCTCTCCCCACCCCCCCTTCTATCTCCCCGCCCCTGTTCTCTCTTTCTCCCCCCTCCCCCCCTTTTCACTCTCCACTTAAAGCCCTCCCATCACCTTACCCAAATCCCTCCTCCTCCCCTCCTCCCCCTCCCTTTAAAACCTAGCGCCCCCCCCCCCACCCCTCAACGCCACAGGAGAACACAGCCTCCTGCTGTATCCTGACGGTGCGGGAGGAACACGAGAACACGAGGCCTGCTTCACTATCCTCTTCTCTCACTATCCTACGAATGACGTCCTATCACCATCACCATCGCCTTGGCGTTACTGTACACTTTCTCTACCCTTTTCCTCTGTCACCATCACCTTCACCATCGGCTTGACACCACTTTCTCTACCTTTCCCATTGTCACTATCACCGTCACCATCGGTTTGACATTGCCTTACAGTTTCTCTACCTTTCCCTTTATCACCATCATCATCAACATTAGCATGACATCACTTTCACCATCATCACCATCACTTTCACCATCACCTTCATCACCATCACTTTCACCACATCCTTCACCATCATCATCCCTTTCACCACCACCTTCCCCATCATCATCCCTTTCACCACCACCTTCACCATCATCATCACTTTCACCACCACCATCATCATCATCATCACCATCACCTTCACCATCGGCATGCCATCACTTTCTCTACCTTTTTCCCCCTCTACGCTGTGATGCTTTACGCCACCTGAACGAACTGCCTGACATATACTGTTCACTCACACCATGACGCTAAGGACTGGCAATGCTGCTATCTGTGACACGTACTATCTCTCCCGTCGCTACTGGAGCTTACACACACACACAGGCACACGCACAAACACATACATATATATATATATATATATATATATATATATATATATATATATATATATATATATATATATATATATATATATATATATATACATGTACATAGACACACATGCACGGTCGCACTCACGCAAACGTACATACACGGACATACGCATAAATATGTACAAATATATGCATACATGTATATACGCATATACATATAAGTAGCAAATGCTAATGTTCATAACACATGTGCTTCACAAACACTAATACACGCACGCGCACACACACACACACACACACACACACACACACACACACACACACACACACACACACACACACACACACACACACACACACACACACACACACACACACACGCACACGCACACTTTGTCCCTCCCACCTCCACGTATGAGTCATGAAGAGCCAGATAAAAGGATCTCACAGATAAGCCGTATCTCCGCGTCTCCTGCTTTCTGACTCACGCTGTTTGGAGGTGGAAGAGATAAGGGAAGAGAAAGAGGAAGAAGACAGATTAGGAGAGGAGGGAAGAGGAAGAGGAGGAGGGGGAGGGGAGGGGAGGGGAGATTAGATGGGGAGGGAAGAGAAAGAGGAGGAGGAGGAGGAGGAGGAGGAGGAGGAGGAGAGGAGGAGGAGGAGGAGAGGAGGAGGAGAGGAGGAGGAGAGGAGGAGGAGGAGGAGAGGAGGAGGAGGAGGAGGAGGAGGAGGAGGAGGAGGAGGAGGAGGAGGAGAGAAGGAGGAGGGGGAGGAGGAGAGGAGGAGGAGAGGAGGAGGAGAGGAGGCGCAGAGGAGGAGGAAGAGGAGGAGGAGGAGGGGAGGAGAGGGGGAGGAGAGGAAGCGCAGAGGAGGAGGAGAGGAGGAGGAGGAGAGGAGGAGGAGAGGAGGAGAGGAGGAGGAGGAGAAGGAGGAGGAGGAGAGGAAGGAGGAGATGAAGGAGGAGGATGAAAGGGGGGGGGGGAAGAGAAAGAGAAGAAAGAGGAGACAGAAGAAGGAGGACTCAGGTGTAGGGAAAGGAAGGAAAGAAGAGAAGGAAGAGAATTAAACAGAAAAGCAGAAAGGAAGTAGGAAGAGGAGAACTCAGGAGAGGAACAGAAAGAGAAAGGAAAATACGAGCATTTTAAGAAGAACAGGAGATAGAAGAAAGTAAAGAAAGATAAGAGGGAGGTAAAAAGGACAGAAGAAGAAGAAGCAGAAGACGAAAGAAAAAAAAATAGAAAAACAAAAATTAGAAAAAAAATAAAAAAGAACACTAAAAAAAATCGAAAAAGGAGAAACGGAAGAAGTGATAAAAATGAGAAGGGAAGAAAACGAAGAGGAAAGATTAACGGAGATGCAATGAAATTCAAAATAAACGAAGAATGATTCTAAAATGAACACGAAAGAGGCGGAGAGTGTAAAGAGAAGGAGATGGAAAAAAAAGGAATCGGAGAAAGACATAGAGGAGGATAAAAGAGAAGAGAAGAAATAGAAGTGAGAGACGATGATATTATGGAAGCGGCAGACTGGAAGCATTTGCTCTTAACACACAAGCACAAGCAAACGCACACACTTGCATGCATACATAAATACGTGTTTCTCTTTCTTTCTTCCTTCC